TAGCGTCGCGACGCGAAGCTAGGACGAACAGCGTACATCGAAACGCGAGGACATGCTTCGACGCCCGATTGCGGTCGCGCAAGGGAGCGGCAGCGGGAGCAGCAGGCGATGGGAGAAGGAAGCATCCGAATTCTGGAAGCACATGCCGACCAAGGACAAGCCGTCGTCGTCGTCTCGGGGCCGTGTGTACGTCGCGGCCGCTCTGACAATTGTCGTTGTTGGCATGGCGTACGTGGTGCACCGTGGCAACGCGGGCTCGACGCCGTTGGCCTTGTCCATCGAAGACACAGTGCGGACCAACTGCACCGCACTGGCCGTGCAATCCAAATGGCACCAGGACATGTGCGAGAAAGTGTGCCCGTCGTACGATTGTGTGCGCTCTCGTCCTTCACTTGGGTAACGATGCGCTTTCCAGGAACGAGTTCAACGAAGCGTGCATGAGCGGGTGCTATTACGGCACGCTGACCGTCACAAAAGCAGTGTGCGCCAACCGCACCCTCGACGCTCCCCAGTGGACGTCGTGTACGTTTCCCATCGATTGTGCCGGTCCGTACGATGCCTTGATTCAATAATGACCTGTGGGTTGGCCCGCGCAACTCACGACGGCGCATGACAGGAGCATGCGTCGAATACGCGCCCGTGCGCCCGATTCCAGCCATGCGAAACGCGTGCGAAGGGGGCTGCAACTCGGTCGTCCCGTCCGCGTGCAAGCGTGCCGTCGACATATTTGACCGCGCTGTCAAGAGCTACAAGTGAACCAGTCCCCCCGCCCCAATCCTTGTAGGAAGGAAATGTTACAGAGACTGGTTCGTCACCCTTTCGGTCGCCCAACAAATACACAAACCCCACCGAGGCATCGTCCTCGCCGGTCGCCCACAGGACATCCTGAGGTCGCCACAACATGCATGCTACTACCATTCGCGTCGACCGGACGCCCCCACGCTTTCGGCACCAGTGCTCTCTTGGCACGTCGGATCTTTCGGCGCAGTGACTTTGACCGTTTGCAAGGTGCTACAAGCTGCCTCGCCCGTGCAAGTTGAACCTCCTGCATCGTACGAGAGACTCCTACATCCAATTCAATCACCGCAAGCTCGACATGAAATACCTCCTCCAGCATCACCGACCACAGCGGGAGTCGGGGATGGGGATTCACCCGTACTTCACATATCCTGTTCCTCCAGCACGACAAGTACGCGACGTCAGATTCCTCCGGGCAAGCGAGCGAGCATGACTTCCACCTTCGACATGCTAAGCGATAAAAAGGACCGACAGCTGTGAGGTTTGAACTCACGCGGGTTACCCCAACAGATTTCAAGTCTGTCGCCTTAACCACTCGGCCAAGCTGTCCCATACAATATCGGAATTTAATTTTGGATCTTTTACCATTTTGCAATGTCGAAGTGGCCTGGACAGCTCCTAGCGTGCTGGAGGGTCTCATCGGTCGTCGCCACCGCTCCGTGCATTGGCAACTCACGAGGAATGGCGGTGGGGCACTACACCAGCGCCGTGGACTGCCGCGATCGTCCGGCCAAGATCGGACGGTGGACAACCCTTGCCCTCGTATGTTGAAGGGATCCAATCAGAGCGGAGAATCGAGCCAGCAATCGCTGCCAGCCGCGAATCTTCTCGAGATGACCCAGGTCCCCGTCGCCGACATGACAAGTACCCCTTCGGTGCGGCGATGGACATGGTAGATAGGTCCTTTCACCTGTCGTGCGTAGCGAAAGGAGCCTATCTTTTTGGCCGACGATGCCATGTACTCCAAGGAACACTTTCTTATCCCCAACCACTACATCGTACGTTTGCCTTACTCTCCGATCGCCATGGAACGATTCGTTGACGCGTTGGTAGGACTACGTGGACAGTGTGTTGATTCCGCAAGGCTTGATCAGCGACCGCATCGAAAAGCTCGCGCAGGACATTCGCGCCGCGTACCAAGGGCAAACGATCCATTTGCTGTGTGTGCTCAAGGGCGGCAGCGCGTTCTTTCACGCGCTGATTGAAAAGCTTCGCATGTTCCACAAGTACAACACGTGCGAGTACGTTCCGTTCACGTTCGACTTTATCAAGGTCAAGTCGTACGATGGGCTGCACTCGACGGGCAACGTCCAAGTGAGCGGCGCCGACTTGACCAAGTTCAAAGGCAAGCACTTGCTGCTCGTCGAGGACATTATCGACACCGGTAAGCACGATTTCTCGCATTGCACCGCGCACTCATAGTGTCGTCGCCAGGCAAGACGATGGCCAAGCTCGTGCCGTACCTTCACGAGTCCGAACCAGCCTCCGTCAAAGTCGCGAGCTTGCTGGAGAAGCGCAACCCCGAGTCGTGCGGGTTCCTCGGCAACTTTGTTGGGTTTTCGATCCCCGACAAGTTTGTCATTGGGTGCTGCTTGGACTACAACGAGATTTTCCGTGACTTGGATCACATTTGTATCATCAACAGCGCTGGGATCGCCAAGTGGGCGCACCATTAACCTAGCCAACTCTCCATAGCTAGCTAGTTCGCCGCCATAAACAACTACGCAACATGTGTCTGGTTGTTATAGGCCGCGGGATTAAGCAGCGGGCTTGTACTGCGCAGGCGTCCACGTCTTCACGGTCAGGCCATGCATACCACCGATCTCTTCCTTGATCACTTCGTTGACCAACCGATGCTGAGCCACACGCGACTTGCCTTCGAACGCCGGTGACACGACCTCGATCTTGTACATAGAGCCGCAGCCGCCAGAGATGTCGTCCACCTGGACGTGCGTAGCATCGAGAGCCTTGAGCAGCGATGCACGCATCGACTCTTCCGCGGTCGTCGCGAACGATCGAACGGCGGCGAGCGTTGCCACACGGCCACTGCGACGGAGCATCATGAACGAACCAATTTCCACGCGGGTGTCTGGATGATCGGCCTCCCGTATCCGGAATATGGGGCAAACCTTCGTCATGGGATAAACCTGCCGTGATGACGACACCGCCAGCACGCGAAATCATTCCCACGAAAAGACAGAATGCACGACGATGAGATTTCCCGCGGCGATGTGGTCCTCGGCTCGAGGCAAAGGCGGCCAAAGAATGCTCAATAGTCAGATGAAGTTGCCGGGCTTTAAGCGGCGCCTTGCGGTCTTTCCCAGGGACGGCGAAGCTGCAGCTACACAGAGGGTCTCGCGGCGAGGGGTTGGGTCAGCATAAATGTGAAGCTGGAACAAACACACTTCACCGCTCTTCGTAGTCCGATAAACTCGATCAGGTTGACTCCCAAGCAAGTTAAGTTAACTGGACATACGTCCTGCCCTACGTCCATCAGCACCAGTCGTCTGTGATGACTCCTCCAGCCACCAACGACGTCCATGCCCCCATGGATTGCATCAAGATCTCGTCCATTGCGTCGCTCCAATCGACGCTCCTCCACAAATCAGCCATGTCGGGCTCGGCAGAATGCGTCCACTTCATCGGGTCGATGTCGGTGACGCCCTTGATCGCATCGGATACGACGGACTTGTCGTCGTCGTCCTCAGAGATCGCACACGACGAAGCCGCTGCTGCAACTCGAAGTTCCTTCACAACTCGTGTGTGTCGGCAGCAGTAGCCGCCGCTGCGGGCATGGGTCAAGCATTCTCCAAACTTGCACTTCCTTCCGCCACCGTGGCGCACGCACTTGTTCACGTTGTGGGCCAAGTTGACACACCCAGGCTCGATACACTTCTTCTTGATAATCGGCCCTGCGTGACGCGTGCAGAGCGTGCCAAGGCGAACATTGCGGTGGCAGCCGTCAACCTGGCATTGTTTCTTTCCACCGTGCTTTACACACAGCCGGCGGGCGTACACTTGGCTGCTGCATCCATCGACGCGGCAGCGCGAGCGGGCTCGGTGAAAGTTGCAGCGCCAGTCGTCGCCCAAAACGGGGTTGTAGCATCCGTTGAAGAAGCACAACGTCGTCGCGGGCGAGTTGTCGAATGCCATGGCAAAATGGTGAATGAGGCCAAGGTTCTGCCCTGGAGCTTCAAGGTTGGGATTAACATATGCTAGAATGTTGGTAGAATTTGTTTTTCCCAAACCGTTGATGTGGCCGGCCACGAATTCGACACTGGAGTAGACCAGAGCAGCGTCGACTGCTGCGCCGATTGGCGCAAGAGAGCGCCGCCGCTGCGCCAGGTTTCGTAGTCCTGTGCACGTACGATCCGGCGGCCGTACTGCTTTCCAGGCATCTAGTCTATGCATGGTGTAAACCCTGAACTGGAGCGGTGTGTCGAGCGATTTTTGGCCATGCGGTCGTCCCATGGCCACAAAAACAAGGCGCCATGCGCTGCACTATCGAGGTAGTAACGCCGCTGACATCTCTACAGCGTGTTGAGTATGCAAAAGTGGACGGGCGCACATTGAATGCATCACTACATGTTCGCCAACCTCCCAAGTCGCTCCAATTGACTCAACACTGTTGCCTGTCACAGAACCCACACACGTCACCTGCCTTTGGTGTCATCCATTTGACGCGACCGCCCCCCCGCGTTGGAGGCCTCTTGTGCCACCTCTTCAACAATGATCTCTCGAATTGCGAGATGTAGAGCCCCCTCGGCCGAATCTCAATCGTCGCCATGCTCACGCATCGAGCGTTGCGTAGTTGCCCATGGTGGGGCTCCGGCTGTGTTGGTCCACCCTGCAGCTAGGAGGGTCTGCTCTGCCAAGCCCACGTGCCCTGACTCTGTTTCCCTTGATGGGGGAGGCAATGGCGTCCATGCCAGGTCGTGCTAACGACAGTCGACTGCCAGTGACTCGCGACCCCCCTCCCGCTGTTAGTCCACGCGGTGAATCGTCGATGGCGAGCGCATCTCGTCATTCCACTGTGCCTTCGAATTCACATTCCGGCGACCATTGAGTTGGCTTCATAGGTTGATCTCCTTGGCAGCGGATCCTAGTGACTCGTCTCCAATGCAGGACGCGATCTCGGACAATTCTGCTCATTCTTTCCGACGCAGTTCCCCGGACGGTGGAGAAGCGGAGGCTCGCGCAAACCGCGTGCTAATTATTGCTTTTTTATCAAGCCAACCTGTGCCAGTTGGTCAAGTCGGCTGGCAGGATAGCCGTCCTGGCGACTACAGACCCGAAGACTATGTACTCTGTAGCCTAACTTCATCTTCCACAACTCGGGGGGCCAGTTCGGGTCTTGGTCGGGCACGACAAAAGTATTGCGTATGCGGAGGTGGCCGTAAAGGTTTTTAAACGTTTTGAGCGCGAGCATGTTTCGCTTCCATCGCAAGTCCCGTGCACTCCAAACAAACCCCAACGTTTCCAACGCGTCACGCCGTTCGTTGGATAGTTCGGCGTTGCGATGACGGAGGGTGTGGACAAAGCTGCCAAATCGGGTGTTCCAGAGTTGACGGGGCCACAGTGGGTCGTTGTCTGGAACGACAAAGTCTGCAGGAACATTCAGGTCGCCATGAAGCCTCTTGTACGTTTCGAGCCCGACGAAATTGGCTTGCCAATGGTCTTCCAAGGCATCCCAGACAAAACCCATCGCGTCCAGTTCATTGCGTTGATCTTGCGAGAGCTTGGACTTTGAACATCGAAGAGTGCACACGACCATGCCGAGATTTTTGCCCCACAAGTAGATTGGCCACTTTGGATCGTCGTGAGGAACGATAAAGTCTGCGTTCATGAGCAAATCGTGATGGGTTGCTTTGTAAATCGCGAGCGCTTCGACGTTCAAATTCCACCGGTGCTTTTGGTCGTTCCACACAAAGTTCATCGCGTCCAGCGCTTGCACAATGGATGGCTGTAAGCGACCCGCGTCGTAGGCCCTTCGAAACCCCGAAATGTCCACAACGCACTTGTGCAAGTGGCTCGGCCACGGAGCGTCACTGGGGACTTTGAACTGGCCGGGGAGGGTCACAAACTTTGTGTGGGGCTGTTGGGTGCGCTGACATTCGACGATTTCCAAGATTTGACGCTGTTTTTGCACCGTGAACAACGGGGGCGAGCTTGCACTCACACCATACTGTTGCAGTCTCCACACAAACCCCATCGCGTTTAGAGCATCGCGTTTCTCTTGAGGCATTGAGTTGACCGATGTGCGTAACCATGATACCACTGACCCGAGTTGCAAGCCCCACATTCCTTTGGGCCATCGAGGGTCGTCGTGCGGAACGACAAACTGCGTCGGCACGGACACGTGACCATGGATGTCCTTGTACATCTTCAATGCGGACAAGTTTGCATTCCAGTGACACGCTGGGGCGTCCCAGACAAACCCCAAGTCGTCCAGCCATCGCTTCTTGTCCGGAGAGAGCGTTGCCTTGGTCTGGCGGAGGTTAGAGACAACATCGTTGAGTTTCATGGCCCACAGCTCCCGCGGCCAGAGCGGGTCGTCCGTTGGAACCTTATAGGTTTGTTGGACCAGCAAGTTGCCGTAGATTTTCTTGTACGTGGACAACGCTAGCTGGTTCTGCTTCCACTTGTGCTGCTTGGGGTCCCACACGAACCCGATTGCATCCAGTTCGGCCACGACCTGCGTGTCCAACCGACCTTCTCGCTTCTCTTTGCGCAGTTGGGTCACTGGAAATAGAATGCCGCGCATCTCAACTGGGTACTTATCACTGAACGGGATTCGGAAGCGCTGCTTGATCGAGATTGTCGGTGGCTGTCCAGCCTCCTCATGAAAGGCTCGGACCACCTCGAGTAGCTGTTTCTGCTTCTCAAGCGTGTACAATGGCTTCTTCGACTGGAGCGGTGTGGATGCCGTGGTCATTGCGCAGGAATCGACCCGCCACGGCGTCTGCACAACCGAGAACGGCCGCCGGCCGCACCGCCACACGCCGCGCAGCATGTTGGTACACTTGCGAATGGATCAAACCAAAGTGTGAACAAGGCTGCCAATCAGAACGAGGAAGTGAAATATATATATATTTCGAAACTTTGGGAATTGTACAAATATATCATTTCAGATTCGCCTATTTATCATCATGATGACAATGCGGCAGACGCTTCCGCATGCGGGCGTTTGGTAAGCCCATGCGGCGAGGACATGCCAGTGCGCAGAGAACGCGGCGAAAGAGATTCGCATTCATGCCCAAAACTAATGCTCCCACGTCCCCGACCCCTGCAACGCGTGGAAGCAGTTGCCATCCACTCGCAGCAACTTTTCTTTGACATACCTCAAAGATCATGCCCTCCATGTTGACCTTGATAAGGTCCGTTTTGTAGTCTGCAGTTTGCTTGGTGTTGTCTCGGAGCTCATGCCACACAACTCCCATCGTCTTCAACACCTCGACTTGTATCAGCTTACCGTTGAACGTATTTTGAGTACGCACGGTGGTAGGCTCTTAGCGATCTACGCGCCATTGCTTGGCGCTCGTGGGTAGCAGCGCAAGATGTTGGGCACTTCTAGAAAGGCTTTAACCCGAACGGTTTGTGCTCTTTAACAAACAGGCCAATGGTCGGTCTTTCACGGATGGATATGACAACTTCGAGTGTCGACCACAAATATAAAAACTTACGCAGGAGTGCCTCCATCCAAGCTTGGGTAGGGACGTTGCCGTCGGAATCACTCTCGAATGAGGTGTAATCCAAACGTTTTGTCGAACGTTCGTCACAACACTTCCGGTGACCCTATTAGTTTCGTCTAGGAACTGTTGAGCCACATCGGCGTGAAATATTTGATCCACAAATCAA